TGCTGGTTGGGTCTGTTGCAAAGAGGCCCCACCTTGTTGGGCCTCCACACGGGCCTGGGAGTCCTGGAGCTTGGCTGGGAAGCACCCTGCCCATTGATCAGATGAGGGGCTTGAGTTGAGGCAGAGCCTGGAGCTGAGCCCCTGGCCTGGGGGCCCGGCCTGCATGGCTCACCAGTTCCTTTTCTCCTTTCCTCCTCCAGGGAACTCAACGGCAACAACATCACTCGCATACATAAGAACGACTTTGCGGGGCTCAAGCAGCTGCGGGTGCTGTGAGTATGGAGTGCTGCCCCTTCCCCACTCATAACCTCCCTCCCACCCCCACCCTTGGCAATGGACTGTGGGTCCTAGGCAGAGCCCTGGCTGTGGGTTTTAGGGTTTCAGGGTTGTAGGGTTGTAGGCCGGCTGGGCCTCTCCCTTTGGGCACCCCGAGACGGGTGGGGTGGAAGTGAGGGTGAGTACTGACCCAGAGCAGCCACCGTCTCCCACATGGCTGAAAAACTGAGCACGGCCTAGTCACCAGTGGTTGCTGCCTGGTAGGATCTGCGCTGGGCAGATGGGGCTGTCTTGTTCACTGGTTCTCTCCTGGGGTGAGGGATTACCAAGTGACAATGAAGGATCTTTAGGTCTATCTTAATTTGTTCAGGCTGCCGTAAACCTTTGGAAGGGCTAGGGATCTTGTGGCTGATCTACTCTGGGGTCATCACTGTCCACTGCTGGGCAGAAGTCTCTGCTGCTCCAGAACCCACTGACTTTTGCCTCTTTCCCAGACTCCAGGAATCTTTTCTGAGCCTGAGGAAGCCTCCCCCAGGCACGGCCCCCCTTCCCCACCCAGGTCTCCAGGGGGAGCTCCTTGATAATGTAGGCTTTTGGAAACAAAGTGGAGGAAAAGAAGTGTGTGGTGGCAGCTTCTGCCCCCTGCCCTGTCCCAAACCTCATCTGAGGTCCATGTGGGAGTACATCAGCCACCTGCTCGAGAGCAGAGCAGGGAAAATGCAGAGAGAAAAACATGCTTGACAGTCTCAAAAAATTACCATGCAACAGGCGATCTGTTGGTGAAAACTTCTGCCTGCCAGCTGGATGCTCTAGGTTTCAGGGTGCGTTGGCGGTGAGGAGATGCAGAGTCCCACGGAGCCAGGTGGTTCAATTGGCAGCAGATGGGGCCAGGCGGAGTGGGGGTACAGGCAGAGGGGGTGTCGTCTGCCAACTGCAGAGTATGTTTGCTGCATGTGTGGGCTTTGCCCAGTTGGCACGGGCTGCCCTGCCCTCCACCCCCCTGCTGCCGCTGGCCCATCTTCCCAGTTCTGCTTCTTGGAAACACACCCTCTGGGCCAAAGAGGGCACGCGTGCCAGAAGCCCAGAGCCAGCCCCTGCTGCCTGCTGCCTGCGTCTGGGCTTCCCCAAGCATGCCTTTGGAACGATAACCTGGTGCTCTGGTGCCCTGTGGCTTTCTGCCATGCAGGTGGCTTTAGAGGGATCGGCATGGGACTGGGGCTGGAACTGAATCTTGCCGTCACGCTGGGTGAGCAGAGGAGCCCCTGGCAGGAATTTGCAAAGTTGTGAGGAAATTTGGTTGGCTCAGGCCAGGACTCGGGTCTGCATGTGTCTTCGGCACTGCTCCTATGTCACTCCCTTGTGTCAGCTGTTTCTAGGCGTCCTTGTCCAAAATTCAGTAGCGTCCTTGTCTCTTTGTTTCCCTAGGCAGCTGATGGAGAACCAGATTGGAGTGGTGGAACGGGGGGCTTTTGATGACATGAAGGAGCTGGAGCGGCTGTAAGTATCACTGATGACAGTTTAGGAAGGCAGTGGGGGCCGGCCCTGAGGGGACACAAGCAGGTTGAGCCTGGTGGCAAGGAGAGGGTGCTCAGGGACATGATTGCATGCCCAGCCTGCCTCCTGCCTGCTGAGGGGAGCCACGGGCTGCTGCAGCCATGGAAGTGGTCATAGCATCATCATGAAATCATGGCGTAGAGGAAACTGGCGAGTGTCCTCACCCCACATTCTAAGTATGGCTATCTTTGTTGTTTTTCTCTGAAAATACATTATGGCAAAAAATCCACACAGTACAGAGGAAGTGAGATTTCTTCCTGCGAACTCATACCCCAGGCATAGCCACCATTCATTGAATTGTGTGACCTTAAGGAAGCGATAACATGCTGAGGGGACTGTCAGGAGAGCCCCAAGGACCACCTAAGGAGCTGTGTTTTGGGTGCTCAGGGCCACAGCATAGAAACGGGAAGGTGGAGACGTTTCTAATTTGCATGGTTTGTTCTTTACAGGGCTTTTAAGTTTGGAATGGGTCTTGATCAATTTTTGCATTTCAGGTTGGCAATAATGGAAAGAAAGGATGTGGTCTGGGTAGGGGGTGGGCACACACATTCAGAGTGGTCACCAGTCTCACTTTTCTGCAAAGTGATTTGGCTGTAGGTGTCAAGAACCCTTAAAGTTCATGCCCTTTGAACCAGAAATAATCAGAGACGTGGCTAAAAATTTATGTCAGGATATTCACTGCACATTATTTAAATACAATAAAAAACTGGGCACAGCCATTCCGGTAGAGATGTAAGATATAAAATCACACTTAGGAAGAACAATTAAGGCCATCGGAATGAACTCACAGTGTAATGTTAAGTGGAAAAGGCAGGAAGTGACGTTTGTGTCAATAAAATCAACTTGTATTTGTACAGAATAGAGGAGGAGGAAAATAATCGAGAATATTAACTCTCATTGCACTAAGTGGTAGGATAACAGATACTTTAATTTTATTCTTTATACTTCTATTTTTTTTAATGGATTTTCTTACAATGAGTTTATAATTATAATTATAGCTACTATCGATTGTTTTACTCTATGCCAGGCACCAAGATAAGCCCTTTATCCCATCCCTCCAATATCTCATTTAATCTTTAAAGCAACGCTGGGTCAGTGATATCTTATAGATGAGAAACAGAGATGTGCAGAAGTTAAGACACTTGTCTTATTAAGTGATTATTAAGTGATTACATGCAGGAGAGAAGATTAGAATTGGACCATTTTGCCTCCAAAGCCTGAGCTCTTAATGACTATGCCCCAATACCTCACTTTTCTCTTTTATATCAAAGAAAATAAAGAATTAAATAAAAGGGAAAGAATGTGGTAGTCTCATTGCCTTGTCCCAGCCTGGAGGAAAATCAAGGTGATCTTTCTTTGGCCTTCCTCATCCAGGCTTAAAACAGAACGATAAGAAGCCCAAAGCTAAAGCGATGTTTAGGTCTGTGTTTGTTTTCTTTAAAAGGCTCAGAACAAAATACATACTCATGACCTGGCTTTGAGGGGCTGATTTGGACCTAACCCATTCCAGCCTCAGCTCTGCTGCTGCCATGCCCTGGAAGAGGAGGAAAGGTGGGCATGTGATTCAGACATCGCCCGGTGGCCCACATCATACCTGCTGCTGCCACCCAAAGCTAGCCAGGGCCCTCCTTTTTGAGTCACGACTTAATCTATCCTCTTCCAGTTCCTTTTTCTGTGATTGCTCTGTCCCTGGGGGCATCCAGTGCACTGATACCTTCTCCTCTGACCTGTCAGGACCGGTGGTGGATCAGTTAATGATAAAAGTTGGATCAAGTGGGGAGTCATAAATGTCATACATACTCCAAACATTTCATTTTAAATTAAAACATATAAATGTGCATTTATTGACCCGCTCCCTCCTTCCCTACTTTTTTTTTTTTTTTTTTTGGCCAAGGCCTTTCTTTTTGTTATGAGATGCTAATTGGAGTTCTGTATTGTTTTTCTTGCCTAAACCACACACTTATACTTTGCTTATGATTTTTGGTTTCGGTTTCTTTAAGGTGGAGTGAGATTTTTAAAAGGCCCTTGGAAGCAATCTGGGTGGAGAATTCCGTGTTTCTTTTATGACCCTCTGGCCCCCAGTCTTTATGTAATCCAACAGCCCTTTGAGTAGGAGCTTTTCCTGTTATTGACTCTTTCTAAAGCATTCAGTTTAGTTTTCATAGAAATGACTCTTTTTACAGTGGTATTTTGTTCATTTATGTAACAGTTAATTAAATTATATAATTACAATGATACGTACCTCTGGCTAAACAGGTTTGGGAGCAGACATAACTGGTTCTTGTAAGCAGTTAATAACTTGAATGCAGAGGCAGGAGTGTGTGGTCCGCCCAGTTGTTAGGATTGGTGTGCCACGGGCGACAGTCGGTCTGCCCTTGGTGGGGGGCAGTGCTCAGTCACCCTCAGCTGGCTGAGTCAGGCTTGGTGTGTAATGTGGAGGCAGTCAGGATGGGGAGCTGGGGAAAGGCAGGCTTCAGAATCCCACTTCTACCACTTGGAGGTGACTTCGGTGAATCAGTCACATCTGGACATCCTAGTTCCCCTAGGTATCAAAGAGACAACGCAACGGAGTCAACAAACATGTCCTGAGCACCCATTAAGAGCCAAGCCAAGTAGTGAACTGGTGGTGGTGAAACCTTCCCCGAGGGGTTGTTGCAAGGAGGGGCTGGGAGGGTATGTGCATGAATGTAAGGTCTTGTTATACTCAAACTCACCTTTTTATTCTGCTTTCCCTCCGATGGTGAGGCAGTGCCTTTGAAACATTTGTCTTGATGCCTGACACATAGTGAAGGCTGCTGAGGACTGCTGGCCACTATTGCTCTGATTATTCTTAGCTACCTATAAGCCCCTCCCCATGCGAGTCCCTCCTTTGGCGCCTTTTAATTTTCCACTTTACACTAGCTATTGAATCCCTTTATTTCTTAAGTGTTTTTCAGAAATTGAAGCCGGAAAACTGAGAGAGTCTTGGGAGAAACAAAACAAAACAAAAACCAATGATTACCAGGCAGTGTAAATACAGGATTAATTTATTGGATGAGGTTAAGGAATGTGGAGCGACCTGATGTCTACTCCTGTTGCTTTAAGGATTCTGTTGGTGGTCCCTTTTTTTTTTTTCCAAGGCAGTGATGTGTTTCCCTAAGAGCTGGCCCTTTAGAGTACACTTCTTCCAGCTGGTCTAAAGTTGCAGCTCTAATTGTCTGTATGTTGCTGGAAAATGGTACCCCTATCACGTAGTAGATAAAGGGTGACCTCCTAGGAGGTAACCACAGGCAGTTACTGCTGGCCACATAGAACTGTGTTTCTTCCTGCCTCTCAGCAAAAGAAAGCTTTTGCATAATTGATTTATCATTGTTTAGAACAGTTAAAGGAGATGGTTGTGTGAAACTCGGAACTGTGCTGTAACTGGAGGGCAGGGGCTGCATTTTACACTGGTGCTTCTCCAACCTTGATGAACACACAGATCACTTGGGTATTTTGTTGAAATGCAGATTCTGATTTAACAAGTCTGGAGTAGAGCTCTTACCAATTCCCAGGTGATGCCCCTGCCAGGTGGTCTCGTGGACCACAGCGTGAATGCCAAGATTCCATAGTTTATAGGTATCACACCCCCCAAATGGGCCGGAGTCTTACACTCCCGTGTCGGAAAAATTGTTGCCTAATAGTCACAGGGATGTAAAGTACAGCATAGGGAATATAGTCCATAATAGATAGTAACTGTGTATGGTGTTGGGCGGCTACTAAACGTATCACTTTTTAAGTTAAATAAATGTCTAACACTATACTGTACACCTGAAACTAATATACTATTGTACGTCAACTATAATTGAAAAAGAAAAAAAGAATTCGTTCCCTAAGGTGACGAGATGAATCTGGTTAAACTTCACTGCCTTCTTAGGTCAAGTCCAGGTTCTTTCTGCATTATGTCTTCTCATCAGGCCACATTCCAGAACCAGAGTTCCCACTCCTGCCTGTGTTGACAATACTGAAAAGTTGTCAGTTCACCAACAGAGGAATTAAAAATGATGAACATACTATCCAGTCACTGGCAATAAATGGGTTGTTCTCTATTATTTGACATGGAAAGACAGCCACAAAATGTTGAGTCAGAAAAATACAGGTAGCTAAATACCTTTTCTTCTATTATTTAAGGTTTTAAAAAAAGCATGCATTTTCATAAATAATAAAAAAAATCAATAAAGCTATTTTCATTTTGAAAAAAGCCCTAAAGCAGACAATAAAAGATAAATCATCACTGAGCCAAATGTGGATGAAAGCAATAAAGAATCAGAACCACATGGCCAGTCCTATCCCATTAGGATAGATCTCACATTTCAAGTTTAGTCAGATATTCAACTCATAAACTGAGATAATATTTGAATCAGTGCCTTGTAAATTATAAAATGCAAAATGATGAGGAATATGGGAGGAAATAATGGGAGGAAAGATGCTCTGTGTATTGCCTGCCCACTCTGTGTCAGGTCCCTGGGGAGGGTCTTTCACGGATATTCTGCTCTTATTCTCCCCAGGTGTTGGATGGCAGAATTCCCACTTTATAGATGGAGCATCTGAGGCCCAGAGGAGACGATTTCTCTCGGGTTACACAGTAACCTTGTTAGGATTTGAACCCTGGGCCTTCTAAGTCTGAATCCAATGCTTTCTGAACAGTCCTTTGGATTTCCTGGCCAGCTAGGCAATTTCCAACTCTTCCTCTTTTCTCTTTTGTAGACGACTGAACCGGAACCAGCTGCACATGTTACCAGAACTGCTGTTCCAGAATAACCAGGCTCTGTCGAGGCTGTGAGTGACACTCTGTATCCAGAAAGCTCCCTCTGTGCTCTTATCGCTCACCCTGTGGGTCAGTGGGGTCTGGATGACCTGTAACCATGACTCCCATGCTCCTCATCTGGCAGGATTGCTCAGGGGATCAAAGGCCAGGCCCTTTCTGTGGGAAGGTGCTGTGCAGGGCATTTCTCCATGGCAAGAGCTTGACAGAACCCACAGTTCATCCATTCCATGTGCTGTCTCTGACAGTGCTGGTGTGAGGATGCTTTGCAAATGGACACGCTTGTCAACCGTGAGGCCTAATGTTACGAGGAGGACCAGTCATTTGCGTCTCCTACTGCCTTTGGTAACCTGCCTTGGGTTGAATTTTTACTCATTCAACAAAGGTTGAATAGGTTCAATAGGTCCTTCCTGGACCTATTTCTATTTTCAGCTTGGGTAATGAGACTATAAGCTTATTAACCACAGTGTAATGTCATATTTTTATTTGTTGTAAATGTACTTCTTTCAGATTTTAAGGGTAGTGGCTAATTTTGCTGCTCCATGATTTGCCAAATGTGTCTGTAATTGTTCTACCATGTATCTCATTCTGTGGGATCTTGGGTTGGACAGGACCTTAGAGATTAAGAAATCTCTTCTGCAGCTCCTTAGCAAATGGTCCTTCAGTCTTTGATTGGCTACCTCTAAGTGGAGTTTTCTACCTCCCTGGCAATCAATTCCATTATTGGACAGGTCTGAATGTTAGAAACATTTTCTTAATTTCAAGCTCCAAATCTACTTTCTAATATTTATGTTTTTCCCAGCTTTGATTTCTGTATGTACCTAGGATGATTATATATTCTTGTTAGAGTTTTAAAGGGTCATCAGGCTTTTGAATTTTGAGTTGGGAGGATTTTCTGCCCTCTTGGCAGTTGTTATTAACAACCTGAAAAGTCACCGCGTGCCCAGCAAAGCACTATGTGAGATGCTGGGGCTGCTGCTTCTTTCCTGAAGAAGCTTGTGGGATAGTACCTAGGTGGAGGAAGAAGCAGTAAGTGATGTCGTAAGACTGAGGGGTAGGGGGTGGGCGGGAGATGGTACCCTGTGGCTACCTGAGGGTTGAGGGGCCAGTTCTTTGTCATGATTTCAGACCTTTTGATAAGCCCAGTGGTCTCCAGGCAGCTACAGAATTTGTCACTGATCCTGCCTTCAAGATGGAACTCTAATTTTTAGTGTGTTCAAATGGTCTCTCCAGTCACTGCCTGTGTCTTCCTCCTCCTGGCCTGGAGGCCTCTCCACAGTGACCCTCAGTGATGATCTTTTCTGCTGGTCTTGGCCACCCTTGGGCTGGAGCTGGGCCTTCTCCTTCAGTCTGCCTGTAACCTGGTGCCAGGCACACACAATGAGTGCTTTTCTTTACTTGACTGCTGACGGCACAAGACCCTTTCCAGGAGCTGCATCCACCTTGACATCTCTTTAAACTGTGGTCCATGTGCTGCCCCACGAGGTCCATGCTGTTACTGGTCACATGCAGGCAGCCAGCCTTGCCCTGACTGGGCCCCAGCAGCTCCTGTGTTCTCCCCTATCCTTTCTCACAGCTGGTTCCTGCAGGGGTTATCACAGCTCTGTCTCTTCAAAAATTCATCCTGAAAGTCTCTTCTCTTGGTCTCCTTCTGTCCTTTTCTTTTTCCTCCTCCTCACCCTTCTTAGTCTTTTAAGCCGTTGTCTTCACTTTCCCAACATTATTTGCCTGCTTGGGTTTCCCTTTCCCTCAGCCAGACTGATCCACTGCCCCGTATCATCCAGGCTTCAGAGCATGTGCATAGTGGATAGTTGCCGAACTCTGGGTGCCTGCTTTGACTTTCCTCATTTATTTTATTTCGTTTAAAATTTATTTATTTAAAATTTTAACTCTATTAAGGTATAATTGACAAATAAAATTGTAAGCGATTTAAAGTGTACTTTGTGGTGATTCGATACATGTATACATTGTGAAATCTAGTTAGTTAACACATTCATTCATCACCTCATATGTTTATCTTTTATTTTTTTTTTTTGGTGAGAACATTTATGTTTTACTCTCTTAGCAAACTTCAATTATATAAATACAGTGTTATCAACCATAGTTACCGCGTTATAGATCCTCAGAGCTTATTCATCTTATAGCTGAAAGTTTGTACCCTTTTACCAACCTCTCCCTGTTTTCCTTAGCCTCCACATCTCTTAAGATTTCACATATAAGTGAAACCATGCAGTATTTATCTTTCTCTGGCTTATTTCACTTAGCATAATGCCCTCGAGGTCCATCTATGTTGTCACAAATGGCAGGATTTTTTTCTTTCTCATGAATAATATTTTATTGTACAGTATATGTTTGTGTGTGTTAATTACCTAGGTTTCACACACACACACACACACACACACACACACACACACACACACACATCTTTATCTATTCGTCTTTACCCCACCTCCACCCCCATTCTATTGACCTGAGTATCTGGCATTCCAAAGTATCTGTTAATTCTCTCAGTTGGTCTGGCTGCAGAGCACTTGGGTGCTCTTGGTTGTAGAAACAGAACCCCCACAAAGGCTGGCGACAGTAAGAGTGGGGTGGGGTGATGGTAAAGGTACAACCAGCAGACTCACAGCCTCCCCAGGGTAGGAATTAAGGTACAGCTGGGACAGGGAGTGTGAAGGATGTTTCTAACTCTTCCTGAATATTTACTGCTCCATTTCTCCCTGCAAACCAGTGTCCTGGGCTTAAAGGCAACATCTCAGTTCAACCGTGACTTTGGTTGGCCACAGTACTGATTCCCCTCCTACTTTCTATGACCTTAGATCTCAGATCCCCACAGTGTCTCAAGTTCAATTCCAGATTTCTGGAGAAAAAATCTGCTTGCCCCATCTTAGGTCAGGAGATCACCCCGGCGCCAATGAGCTGTGTTGGGGGATTGTGAGATCACCTGGTGCAGTCATACTATGGAGCCCACCCTTCTCCAGGAGCTGGAGGTTCCTAAAGGAACCCACATTCCCATAGGAGGTGGGGTAAGAGGGACGGCAGTGTCTGGCCTTTCTGGTCTGTTACTGCTTGACCTTCCTTCTGCTTTGAGGGATCTGTTACTAATCCTTTTCATCTGGAGCAAATCATGGACTTTCCTGCAGAGGCCCTTATGCTAAATCAGCATGAAAACGAGTTTGTGAGAGACCAAATGTGCATGGTAAGGTGTGGTCACAAAGTATGTCAGGTGGTGTGGTCTGCATTTTAGTTGCTTTTGTCTGTGTAGCTTTCAGTAGTTAAAGTTCTATAACTGGTTATTCTTTACTAATATTTCCCCTGGTGTTGGGTTAGTCTGTCCATTGCTTTCCTTATGCGGACCTGTGGCCCAGAGAGGTGATTTGCCTTAGACCACAGAGCAGTTTGGTGATAGGGATGGAATTAGATGCTTGGCCTTCAAAGGTCCATAAAGAGCCTGAAAATGGGCTTAAACCTTGAGCTAGAAATCTCATGTTTGGAAAGCTATCCTGGGAAATAAGAAAACATGAGCACAAACCTGTTCTCTGTGGCATTATTTAGAATATTATAATAAATAACATTTCCATATTGAAATATCAAATATTAAAAAAAAAAAAATAGAAACAACCCACATGTCCAGCTTCTGGGGAATGGTTAAGTAAATTCTGGTATATTAACTTGATGGAATATTTATATAATCATCAAAAGTGGCCTTTATGAAAGACATAAATTAATGCAAATAAATATCTGTGACATCAAAGGCCAGGATGCAAAATTGTACTGACGAAATGATTGCTAAATAGATCACTCTAAATAATGCACAGTAAATGACTACAAAATGCCAACAAGGGTTGTCTCTGGGCAACTTCTTTTGTATTTACCAGATGTCCTATAAAAAGCATGTATTATATTTATGTTAGGAGACCTCCCAGTTTTTCTACGCCACGAAAAGCCTCTGTAGTCTGAGTTAAAGTGAGTGCAGACACGTGATGCTGGAGCCCTTCCTTGAACCCCAAGAAGTCCTGTTCACTCTTCTATCAGATAAAGATAATGTCTACTTCACAGGCTGTTGTGGAGATTAAAGAGAGGTGTAACCCGCTTTCATGTCAGGTGAAAACTGACACATAGCAGGTGCTGAGGAAATGTTCGGTGAATCCATATGGGAATTGCTTCAGAGGGCAGCAAACCCGTTTCAAGAGGTGGCGCCATAGCCCCTAGGTTGACCACTCCGAGCATTTATCCGCTGTCAGTATCTGAGCCACCACCCCCCGTGGTGGTTTGCCCTTATCTCTCTTAATTCAGAACCACCCCCTCCCCCACTTTGTAAGGACTTCCCCCCAAAAGTTTGTGTGTTTTTTTTTCCCATGAGAGGCTTAGGTGTACCTTTGGGGGCACCTGAGGAGGGTGGAAGGCGGCTGGTTTGTGTACAAGCAGCAGCTGACATGTGGCTTGGGATGACCATTGCACAGGCTCAGGAGGTTGAAGAAGGGAATCTGCCAAGCTCAGAAGGTTTGACATGCCCAAGGGGCTGAGCCAAATTTGAACCTCGGTCTGTCTGAGGCTAATGCTTATTCTTCCAGAACATCCATCCACCCCCCTACTCACCATCCATCTACCTCCTATACCCTCTACCTCCTCATCCACTCCTCCATCTACCTAACCCTCATCCCCATCTACCTATCACCTATCCTGCCTCCCACTCATCTGTGCTCCCACTTACCCATATACTAATCCAACAATCAATCCACTTATATCCCTCTGTCCCCCATTTCCTCCTACCCACCCATCGCTTGCCCACTCACTCTTCTACTCATTTACCCACCAACCCCTCACCCACCCAGCTCCCGACCCATTCACCCTGCCCTTATCCATCTACCAACCCACCTATATACCTACTGTATACCCAACTCTCCCCCAACTCCACACCCATCCTCCCACCTCCATTCTCCCACCTCCATTTCCCTACCCACAACCATCCTCCCCGCCACCTTCTGTCTGCCTACCCACTGCCCACCCACCC